TGTGAAGGACTACGTCGTAGAGTGTCCCACCTGTCAGGAGGTGAACAGTGCGAACCACCAACCTTATGGTTTGCTCCAGCCTCTTCCTATCCCTGAGGGTCGTTGGCAGTCCATCTCGATGGACTTTATCGGTCCTCTTCGACCTCCGATCCCCCGCGGTCATGATGCTATCCTGGTCGTCGTCGACCGCTTCACGAAGCGTGCACGCTTTGTTCCGTGTCGCTATGCCATCAGTGCACGTGAGGTCGTCGACATCGTATTTGACCGAGTCGTGCGTGACCACGGCTTACCTTTGAGCATCATATCTGACCGTGACAGGCGCTTTACCAGCCGATTCTGGCTACGGGTCCACGAGGTGTACGGCACTCAGCTCCGCTTCTCCTCGTCTTACCATCCTCAGGCTAATGGTCAGACCGAGATCACGAACAGGACTCTCGGGGATATTCTCCGAAAGATTGTCCGTGACGATCAGCAGTGGGATCTCCATCTTACCCACGCAGAGATAGCCTACAACCACGCCGTCTCGCCAGCCACGGGGATGTCGCCTTACTATTGCGACCTCGGCTACCACCCTCGTGTTCACGCGGACTTCCTTCGACCATCACAGATGCACCCCGACACGAGTTGTCCCGCACTGGATGATTGGGTTACACACATGACGTCGATCATGAAGACCGCACATGAGCACATAGCCGCTTCCCAGACTCGCATGGCAGCACGTGCAAACGGATCGAGGATGGATCATCCATTCAAAGTTGGTGATGACGTGTTTATCGACGCCCGCCACTTACATCTCGAAGCAGACACGCTTCGCAAGTTTCAGCGTCGCTTCTTTGGCCCATGCCGCATCCTCCAGGCCGTCGGTTCTGATACGGCTTCTAGCCCGGTCAGCTTCCGTGTGAAGCTGCCCGACTACCTACGCCAAGATCGTGTATACGATGTCTACCACGTCTCGTTACTGCGTCTTTACCGCAGACCGTCTGAGCATTTCGTCGGCCGACCATACGAGCGCCCTCCACCCATCATGGTGGACGGTCACGAGGAGTTCCTCGTTTCAAACATCATTGGTCGCCGAGTCACCGACGACAACCCTCCCCACGTCGAGTATCTCATACGTTGGAAGGGTTACCCTGATGAGGAGGCTACCTGGGATCCCCTCGAGCACTTGCAGCACGCTCGCATGTTGGTGTGTGCCTATGACCGTGCTCGTCGTGCTGGGTTCACTGCTCCTCCTCAGCCCACTGACCCTC